ATATTTTTAGCCGCTCAACAAGTTGGGGCAACCGAACCTAAAGTCGTTGTCCAATTCGATACATACTTTTTTGCTAATTGCTTGGATGAACGTCTCACGTTGGTGAATGTTTCAGTTTCTGTTTTTATTTTGTTTTCTGTCTTGGGCCTTTCAATGTCATGTGAAAACTGATCAAAAACGATCAACGGCAGCAGCAGCACAAATTGCATGAAAATTATTTACACAGTGCTCGACAACATTAAACAGCTGCACTCGACTCGATGGCATTGAACGCCAAGTGGAGGACCGAGGTCTGGAACTGCGGGGATGGGTTAAAAAAACGTGAAGAGGAGCCGGTCAGTCATCGGATTGCAAGATACTGAGAAAAGTGCTCTAGGAAAACCAGCTGATTATATAGGGTATGACGAGGCAAAACACTTTAATGAAGACACATTATTCATAGAGACAGTAAATTAGAAGACAGATAAGTTAAAAAAAAAGTCTAAAGATATACATTACTTACATGTAAATGCTCTACAAAATAATTGTTTGGTAGATTGCAGATAAAACTGTTTTGTACATATATATTTTGTAACCTTGGCATTTTAAAATACGGAGATAAGACGCTTTTTTATGGATGATTCAAGCAAAAATAACCAATTGTGCAACTTAAAGTTAAGCATTATGATGAAATAACTTTTACACTGATAGCTAAAACACTTATTATCGTTTTAAACTTAAATTAATAAAATGAATCCTTGATATGTCTTTTAAATCTCTCCCAAATTTTCTGGCATCAAAATCATCATTAATTCAATATACTTTGTCTAGACCCGACGCAATTTGAAATTACAAAAACACACACTATTTTTAGGCCCACTCTGTAGTCACAAGAAAATCCAAGAGCTGCAGCAGAGAAAAAGAGTGAGAGAGAGGAAGGAAAAGTGAGATATGTGGGAGGGGTGTTTTCCCAAAAAAGAAATTCCCATCAAATTCAAATGTCGAAATAAATACTTAACAAAAAGTGATTTTATTTAACCAAGTTTTTGTGGGCCCACAACTTTTTTGGTTTTTGTTTTTTGCATATGCAAAGCAACGAGTCACAGTGGACGGCGCATGCTTTAAATTTAATTAAAGTGAAAATCTTGCACATAAAAAAATGGGCAAACAAAAAATGCAAAGAAAGTTTTTTTTCCATTTTTTTTTTCGTATTACTGGCAACTGGTCACTGGCGCTTGTTGCTTGTTGGCGGCTTATGCAGGCCCCGCAATTGACCCGCTTAGCCACGCGCTCGATCGACGTTGTTATTAGCCAAGAAAATGGACAAGGGGGGAGGAAGGGAGCCTATGATTTTTGCATTAAAAATGTACAATATTATTATTACACTTTTTAATTTTGTCCGCTTCGCTTTCCATGCACAAATTCAATTAACCGAAATCTTTCTGGTTACACTTTCTTTGGGTTAAGTGGCATATCGAGGAGTATTTCTGTGGCGTGCAAATCATTTATGCAAATGCTAAAAATACACTTTTGGGCATATATAATGTTCGTCGGCTACTGATTTTCGCTAAGCGAACAATGCTTCGTGATTGAGTCTGCAAATGTGGGTAGAAGGAAAATGGAAAGAGGGGCTCCAAAAACTGGATTTCTACCACTAACATGAGTCACTAAACAACGTCGTGAAGCCAAGAATAAAGCAAAAACTCTAACAATGTTGAATTGACCATAAAACCTGAAAAGAATTTGTTTATTTATTTTCTTGAGAAATTGTGTATTACTTTTTCACTGTTCTCATATTAAGTTTTTTAGGAACCTACCCAAGAATTGTTTATATTTTAAGTTTGGCCTGGTTCTGAAGACTGTTTTTTTTTTGTAATGTGAGATTTCGTTTACTTTTATATGTGTTAAATTCTTTTTTTTTAATTCATTTTTTTTTTTTTGTTGATATTGCATATAATCTAATACTATTCTTTGTTGTTAGTAATATTTTTACATTATAGTTTCCCAGCTTTTTATTAGTTTCTGCTGCTATTCAGTACGCTTTGAGCCGTATGCAAATCCCCTTGACAAACACTTGACAAGCTTTTCAGAGCCTAAAACTTACAGCAGACACTGGGCAAAATCCAACTAAATCCCCGCAACTAAAAAAAAGTAGAGAAAACTGTGGGAAAAAAAGAGAACAACAAAAATGGCAACAAATAGATTGCAAAACGTTGTCTAGACGTGCAATTTTGGTCCTGACACCGGGGAACCTCCTCTGCTGTCGAGGCGAATTTTCCGCTTACACACACACACTAGCACACACACCTACAAGCACACGCACACCAGCACACATTTTGAGGGTGTGCCGGCTGCTGTCTGATGAAAGAAAACTACCCCCGAAACGCGGAAGGCATATAAAATCCATCGATATTCGAATATCCGAATTGAATCGAAATCAGCAAAAACTAAATCGGTCTAAAGAGGCGGAATGAAAGCAGCTGAGGCAAGCTAAAAATTGCTTTTATAATACTGTTTGTGCATTTAAAAATCCCTGCACAGGCAGGTAAACTTTAGCTGGGCGTGTCAACGCCCTGGCAAAAACTAGGAAAAAACCAACAGAAAAACAGCTGTGAGCTGGAGAGTTGAATTTCATAGACGGAGAGCGGAAAAAACAAAATAATAATAATAACAATGTGGAGACCCGGTACTCGGAACTCTATGGATCGAAGTGGAATGTGGGGCCTCCGCCGAAACAGAACACAAAATCCGAAGAAAATAAAAACAACAAGAAAGCAACGATATATCCGAGAAATATATATATTTCGTTGGGGCGCACGCTGCTGGCCGTGCTCATATGGCAGCAATTTACATAAAACCCGCAAAACCAGTTTTTTTTAATAAAGTTTCAAGTTCCAGCTTGGTCGGTAGAGGGAAAAAGACGGCAATGCAGTGGTAGAAAGAGAGGGACGCCAGAAGCGCGCGTTCTTAAAACATTTGCCTGCACTTTGGCTTATGGGAAGCAATTTGTAAAATTCTCACTGCTTTGAGCATTCGAGTGGATTTCCTATGGGTAACTGATGACATTGAAATAATTAATTGACACAAATAAGTTTGCTCAGATTGTTCAGCCAATTAGAAAATATTGGGTTTTCTAACTGGAACTGAGGATGAGGTTTACTTAAAACGGAAATTTCGAGCTTACTGCCGAGAATACAGAAAACTTTTGGGGAATGATTTGAGTATCAATGTGCTTTTTAACCAAATATGTTTCATGCTAAATTACAATTTCCTTGCATTAATTTTTAAATTTATTTAGACTGCTTATAATATGTCAGTAAGAAAGTATTTACATTTAGCGATTTAGGGGAAATATTTTTTGTGAGAACCTGAGTTTCATACGATATTTGTAGAGGTTTAAGGAGTTATATTTCAAATTGTATATTACGAGTACAAGAGTTTTTACTAAAATAAATTATTGTGGGTTAAATTATATTATCTAGATAAGGCGAAAGACTTGATATCTTTCTACTGACTATTGATTAATTTAATGCTATTTAATATTTTAAAACGTTTTTAATTTATGGATTTTTTATTAAAACTGCATTTTTACTACCATTATATAAGTAAGAACTGTCTACAAACTGTGTTATTTCAATTAACTAATTTTTCAATCATATCCTAGTTTTACCAATGAAAAAATTGTACCCCTCAATAAAAAGATAATCCCCCAAAATCGAAGGAAAACAGAACTTACCCATAGCTCGTTTCCCCAACTCATGTTGTTGGAGTTTTGCGCTGCGTTTTCCGATTCGGCCAGTTTGTTGCTGCTGCTGGTTCTGCTCGATCCGCCTGCCACTGTTTTTGTTGTTTTAATAGTAATCCACAGAAGATAATGTAATCCACAGACGGCGGAGAAAGAGGGAGAAAGCGAAGAATAGTAATAGATGAGAATTTTTATTATTATTTTATTATTATCCCGCAAAGGTTAATTAATTTTATAGTTGCTTTTTCGTTTTCATTTTCCGTTTTTTTCAGCGTTGCGCGACGCGATGTTTAATTTTCTATGAAAGAGAGCAATTCGAGTCATATATTTCATTTTTTTCGGTGGTTGGGCAGGTAAGAAAGCATGTAAAAAAAAGAGTGGCAATGCAGACGTGTCAGTTGCAATAGCAGGTAGAAAAAAAGTAAAAACAATTATAACTAATGGCAGTTTAAACTCTTTTTTCTTTTGAGGAGTTGAAAATAAGAAAATTCTATGCACTGGTATTTCGCTGCGCAAAGAGAGAGCGAGAGAGATGGAGAGAGTTGGAGTGCAACTGCATTTCATAATTGAGAAAAAAAGAGAGGACAATTGGAATTCTACTATTGTTGTATTTACATAATTTCGCACACAACACCCACGCACACTCGCACACACATGTAAACACAATTGCCGAGTGCAATTCTTCTTCTTCTGCCACCGTTTTATTGCTTTTCGTTTATTATTTTACTTATTTCCTGCAAGTGCAATTGCAACTTCATTTTGGGTTTTATGCACTTCAGTATGCGTCATAATTCGGGCGACACTCGCACACACACACACACTCGGTACACCCGCACTCACACAACGCAAGCATTTGTTTCTCCTTTTTGGCGTGCGAAAACAATTTAATTTCAACTATCCGCAACTATCCGCTCGTCGTTGTTTTTTCTCGGGGTTTAAAAACAGTGTGACCAGACTGGGAGACTAGAGGTGTGGAATTGTCTATTCCAACTGTCATCGATATTTTCATCGTAGTAATATCGATATTTATTACGTCTCTAAGAAGTAAAGATAGTCGAAATGGTCACACCAAAAAATATCCCTGCTGTTCTTGCGCGCTGTTAAGTTTCCACCACAGTTATTTCACATTCTGTTAACCGTCGTATGAAATGCACTCAATCCAGTGAAAATGTTGTCATCGATAATTTCAAAACGTTTGGCGGGTTATTATCGATTTTCTTCTATCTCGAACACTTCGTTTATTGTGGTGTATGTCCTCGTTAACTTTTAGTGTTCCCTACATCAGCTGTTCAGTCGCCGTTTTACAGCACTGTCAGCTGGTGGATCAACAACGTTGTTTTAGTCAAATTTTTTAATGAATTAAAACTTCTAAATAAAGGACTTTAAACGCATATTGAGTTATTTAAAAGCTGCCGCTAACCACCAACCAAAATGCCCTCCTACGAGCTAGCACTGGTGCTGCGTCAATTGCCTCGCGTGAGTAGCACTAGAATTTCCACCGGCAGTTACATAAAAGTAAATAAGAATCTCCATGCCCATTGACAGCCCGAACTGATTTCCGTGATAAAGCGAACGGCCGAGTCCATCCTGGACAAGGGGGGCATCATTAGGAAGCTGGAGAACCTGGGCACCCGTGCCCTGCCCCACAAAGTCAGCGAACACGGAGTGGTGCATCGCGAGGGTACTCACTTCACCATTGCCTTCGATACGGCGCCCACGAGGATTGCCGATCTGAAAGAGGAATTCGGCCGCGATATAGACATCGTGCGGCGCTATATCTTCAAGGTGGAGGAGCCCGAGCATAAACCCTGCACGCTGCACGAGGAGATGCTGCCACCCGCCTACCGCAAGGATGTCCAAGAGATTGTCGCGGCTGCCCAGAGAAAGCAAAAGAAGAAGTACAACTACAACTCCGGCTTGGACTACTATCCCTTCCAGAAGTAAACCCCGAATAAAGCTCGCTCATTATTAATTTTTAACACGATAAGTGGCGTCCACGATCTTTGGCTATTTTTAACTAAAGTGCTCTTATGAAATGCCCTTCTTATCGCTGCGTTTGGCACAGTGTTTGTCTTTGTTTAGTTTATAGCCCCCAATTGGCGCTTATCAGATAGATAAAGGTGCCGTAAAAATCGAACTCCATCAATAGAAACGTAGATTGGGCAAGTAGTGCCCCAAGAATCGCTGAACAGTTCACTAGCACCTCCTCCACTTGAGTGAAAGCCGCAGAAGAAGAAATGGCACCGCAAATACGACCACTCACGCCAGAGCTGCAGAAAGTGGCCATCGAGCAGCTGAAGGAGGATCCCGCTCGTCTGGAGGCCGATCTGCTGGCATTCAGGACCTGGATCGAACAGCAGCCACATCTGAATCCCCGAACCGACGACCAGTATCTGGTGGCCTTCCTGCGCGGCTGCAAGTACAGTCTGGAGCGGGCCAAGTCCAAAATAGATCAGTTCTACACGCTCAAGACCAAGTATCCGGAATACTTTCGAGTGAACAGCACTACGGATGGAAAGTTCCGGGAGATCCACCAAACGGGGTAAGTAATATACCTTAGAAAACCAATAAGAAAAAACCATTAATTTGTCAATCTTATCAGGGCCATAGTCTATTTGCCAACTCCCCTATACGAAAATGGACCCCGAATTGGCATTTGGCGAATGGGTTTGGTGCCCGTGGAGAAGTACACCATGCTGGAGTGCATGCAAGTGGCACAGGCCATTCAGGAAATTGCCATTTTAGAGGATGACTATGCCAATATTAATGGCATTGTTTTCATCATGGACATGAAGGGCGCCACGGCAGGGCACTTGTTCCAGATGACTCCTTCGATGGCCAAGAAGTTCACCGTCTTTTCGGAGGAGGCTCTTCCACTGCGTCTAAAGGCACAGCATTTCATCAACACCATCAGCGGTTTCGAGCAGATGTTCAACATGTTCAAGCCCATGATGTCCAAGAAGATGCAGTCGCGCCTCTTTGTGCATGGCAACAAAATGGATCTGCTGACGGAGCAGATCCCGCTGAAATACCTTCCCGCGGAATATGGTGGCGAGAATGGATCAGTGCCGGAAATTGTGGCAGTGTGGGAGAAAAAGTTGGATGAATACAGCGAGTTCTTCAAGGATAGTGCCAACTATGGCACTGATGAGAGCCTGCGACCGGGCAAACCCATCGATTTCGAAGGGCTCTTTGGCATCGAGGGTTCCTTCAGGAAGCTCAACGTGGATTAGTTTGAAAGTGGTAGGTTTTGTTAACCCTAGAAATGAATTTGTTATTTTAAAAATTGTTATTGTCTACAATACCTGGTTGGGTTCAACCCATTAATGGCTTAGAAAGTACATTTATATGTCTGGAGTTTTTAGTTATCAGCTATTTTGAAATGGTTTATTGTCTCTAAAACTATTAAAATGGGAATACGCTTAACTGCTTCTCCAGGAAAAGGTCAAAGCAATATAGATCCCTCCTATATGAACATTATCTATCACATTAAGTGCTTATATTATCACCTATAGAAGCAAATCTTTCGCTGCCATTTAGTGGGCGTAGACTCGAATATCTTTCTTCGGTCCAGTGAATTTTCCAGGTAGTTTTGTATCTGCATTTCCACATCAGATCGCCACTTAAGTTCCAGAAAAAGGGGGAAAGTTTCTCCTGCTTTTTTGAGACGCCTCTCTGCGGTTTGATAGCATTTCCAGGGTTGTGGTTCCACCACCAGGAGCTCTGCCAGATTGGACAGCTTCTTCAGAAATAGTTGTAGGCCTTCATCATGATGATTTAGGTGAATCCACATGGTAATTGAGTAGCAGCAAATGGCATCGAACTTTTCAAGATTATTAAGCTTCAAATAAGCGTTTACGGATTCAAATGCTTCATCATTTAGGACATCTACGCAGGCGTAGCTTATTTCTTCAGGGGATTCATTCTCCTCCACAGCACGTTGAATCAGACGATTGTCTATATCCACTCCTAGAATTTTCACTGGCCTTTGGAGGAGTTCCTCAAGATATTTATGAAGCAGTTGGGTAAATACCCCGCAATTGCAGCCCACATCCAGTACAAAATAGGGACTACTTCCGGAGGATTCATTATCTTTTAAAGGAGGTAACCATACATCTTTATCCGGCAAAAGTTTAACACGTTCCGAGGCTGAATTAAATTGATAATAGTTCATGAAATTCCCATATTGAACAGCACCGGGGTCGTTGTTTCTGATGTCCATGATTTAATTTTATATATTGTTTATAAGCACGTTAAAATGATTTCGATTCACAAGATTAAAATGTTTATTTTTAAGTGTGACCCTTACAGCAGAAACAACGATTATTATTCGATACTTTTTATGGTTAACCGATAAACTGTGTTAACTGTGTGACCACATTATACACAAAAACATAACCAAATGCCAGTGCTCAAAAGCGTAGCAACTTGTATTAAACCGCCAAATTCAAACTAGAACTTCCCTTATCATCATTTTTGCATTTATTTACTGCGTTCATTGTTTATATTTGTCGAAACGCCTTTTCTATCTGCTTATACGGCTCTAACAATTTCCTTACACTTAAAAATCGATAACACTTGCTTTGGTGTGTAAATTAGTTTCGAACTATAACTAAATGTACAAAAGATCATCAATGAAATGTACAACAACAAAATATACACAATGTTTCGTTTTCGAAATCGAATTTCGTTCATTATTTTCGCATTTTGGCATGTTTGCAGCTGAGATATCATCAAAGTAACAGTGGAGATCAACAACATTCAACGGCAAACACTCGACTTGGGACCCTGAACGCTCCACTGGCGAGGCCTGGGAAACTGAATTTGACCCACTAAGGGAACTGGGCGAAATTGGGAACCCCACCAAATCGAAGCGTTCAGGGGCGGCCAAAAGGAAAATATATGCATCTGCATTTGCCGGTTTAAACAACGATCGAAACTTGACACTAGCCTATCCTTTCATTTTCGTTTTTATAATTTTTTGTATTTATTTATCGCTAAGAACTACTGGAAATGTTTTTTTTTTCGGGTTTGATCGCTTTCGTATTTTAACGTTTTTGCTGGGTTGAGTTTTACATCGTTTAGTGGGCCTGGGATTTCCGTTTCTAAAGCGCATTCGCAAAGCGTGCGAAGATTGAATGTTCTGAATTTTGAATTCTTAATTTCCGGTCCGTCGTCAAGTTTGGCAAATTGTTTAATAAACTCTACACGATTTTTTTTGTAAAATTCTAAATGCTACTTAATATGGACTTTGAAAAAGGTTTATATATATATACGCAATATCTTGCTTCTTGAGTAGCATATGATTTTCATATTGTTTTTAGTGTGATAGCAAGTTTGAATTGTAAACCGGAAACGGAAATGTTCTGCTTGCCTAGTGAATTGTCTCTTGTCTACGAATTAGAATTAGAATTAGAATCGCTGCTACAATATGTATATGGCTAGAGTTAAGTACAAGTACAAGTATATACGTGGTAAGCTCATAAATACACAATAATAATCGTCAATCAATTCAATTCAATCAATCAATCAATTAATCAATCATAATTGGATACGCTAAAAACTCTTAGCTTAGCTTAGGTCTAGAAATATGAATATGTCTTTCAACGTGTCTGTGTTTTTGGTGTCTCTGTGTGGTTGCTGTATGGTTGGGTGGCTGAGTGGCTGAGTGGTTGAGTGGCTGAGTGGTTGAGTGGTTGCGTTTTAGAGTTTCTCAGTTTTTCTGTGGCTTGTGGGTGGTGCTTTCATTGGCATGTCGCGTAGCGCCAAACGGCCCGTAAATATGCAACTATATGGCAACAGGCAAGTAAGTGTTAATATAGATAGAGAGAGAGAGTTAAGGAAATGGCTCAATGCAATTACAACCAATTTATTACTTGCGGGACTTCGAAGTTCTTCTCAAAGGGATATAGGGGTTGCGGAGGGGGTGAGGGGTTGGGGGGTTGGGGGTTTTTTTGCGGTTTTAATTCTTTTGTATTTTTTGAGGAGAATGAAAATCTAAATCTAACTCTAGTCATCTGGGTCCAACCCGATTAGCTCTGCTTGCAAACGGCCCTTAGTCTTACAACAAATGGTTAAGCAAAATACTCTCAAAGCGATACGGAATTGCGGCGACATACTGGTCATGATTAGAATTTTCCAAAACGAATTCAATATGCCGATCCAGACGACGGCGAAGTTGATAAGAGTACTTTGGATAACATCGCCCGTGACCACCTCATACAGACGCAACAGAATCCATGGCAGCCAGGACACCCAGAATGCAAAGACTAATGCGAATGACATCATATGACTAGGGTTCGATAAATTTTCAGCCAGAGCAGTTGCATATTCTTTATCGTGTATCGGCTCGCCGGACCTAATCTTACGCATCATTACAAAGATATAGCCGTAGTTGTGTACGATTGAAATGAGGCTGGGACCTAAGACTAAAATCGCCAGAGTGGCGCTATATGCCGCCATATTCCCCCAGTCCAGCATGCAAATGTGCGTCATGTTGTTCTCGATGGGCATCGAGTAGCCCAGAATTGGGGGGCAGCAGAGCAGGGCCGCCGATATCCACGTGAACACCATCCAGCACTGGCATCTGCAAGGGCAAACATAAGAATAAAGATTAATCCGATTTGCTTTAGAAAAATTAAATTTATTTTAAATTCCTAAATATTGCTTAATATAATATAAGCTGTAAAAGTGAATAATATATTAAAATTGGTATTGAAATAATATTATGAAGGATAGTAGGCTTCCCATAAAATGTATGCTAAACATTTTCTCCAAATTATATTTGATATCTTCTATCTTTTGTATCCGGTTATTACAACTTATTTATTTATAAAATATATCTATATTATTAATTAAAGTATTTCAGTATTCCAAAAATGATTATTATTTAATTATTTTGTGTCTTTTAGATTACAATTACAAAATTACATTTTGAAATTATATAGAATACCATTGCAACTAGTTGTTTCAATATTTCTAAAAATTTTTTCTGACCAACAAATTCCGATTTAATTTTAATTTGTTAAGACTGGGAATCTAGATGTCCCCCCACTCACCTCGTCTTCGTCTGGACCGTCTCGTATCGCAGTGGCTTGCGCACCGCCAGATACCGATCCACGGATATCCACATGAACGTGTAGACGGACACCGCCCACAGAGTGACCTCCAGGTAGCCCGTGAAGCGGCACACGATGTCGCCGTACATCCATTCTCCGGTCAAGGCGGGATACACGGAGAAGGGCACCACCAGCAGTCCGCAGAGCAGATCGGCAATGGCCAGGGACAACAGGTAGTAGTTGATCACCTCTGTGGGCCCTGTGGTTTATAATTTAAACATTAGGCATTGAAGTAAAAGGGATAAGCAAACTAAAAACAAATGCAAACAATATTTTGTAAATTATACATTCAATAACTTTTTGGGCGGCTCTATATTTACGACATTCACAAACCTAATGCTTTTTAAATGTATCCAATAGATCAAAAGAAAACATTTTTTTGACAAACATTGTGGGCAGGGCAGGAACTACAAATCATTAATTAATATCTTAAGATAAATTAAGCAAAACCTAATTTTTCATTTTTAAAATAAAGCCGACAAAAACACATGACATTTAAATAAGAGAAGATGCTTTTTTACTTCATTCCTTTCTCTCCTTAAATTTAATTTCGGATGCATTTGTACTTTAAACATTGGTTTTCTTAAAAGACAAAATTAAATTAAAAATTTAAATTAAGCTTTAAATACATGTTTGTTTTGAAGATATTGTTATTTGGACCAAACCTAACCGCGTTCAAGATGTTCCTGTGGAAAGCATTAATCGTTTGTTATTTGAACAACGTACCCTTGAAGTTGGCATAGGTGGCGATGATGAGGAGGTTGGACAGGACGATGGCCACGCCCAGTATGGATATGAGCACCGCCTTGGTGAGGGCCTCCACCTTGGAATTATCCTGCAGGTAGCTCATTTCCTGCATTTTTACGGTCCGCTGGCGGTTGAAAGTGGCGCTCCTGTGCTCGTTGTTTTTACTCCTTTGGCTCCGGCTCCTGCTGCTCCCTCGTTTCACCTGCTTTCACTTGCTTTCTCCTGCTTTCGCCACCCACCTGCTTGGCGGCTCCTTGGCGGGCTGATTGTTATGCAAAGGCCAGTGTACGTGGACGTGACCGTACTTCACTTCCGGTCATGGCGGCCGCCCATGCAATTGTCCTGTGTGTTTGTGTGTGTATTTCTATGTGTCTATGTGAGCTGGTTTTTAGTGTATAGGTGAGGTCGTGTGTGTGTGAGGGTGTGTGTGTCTGGGCGAGAGTGTTAGTGGCGTCCTTTATTGTGCAACGACGCTTGCACACGCGAAGGTCGTCGTAGTCCTTGGCGCTACTTTTCTGCCTTTTTTTTCGTTCTTTTTCCACCGCTGGCGCCAAATTTGTATAAATTTTCTACTGCCTACTTTTTGGGCCTCCGTATTTCTGGCGCTGAGCCAAGCATTTGATTGTTACCCTTACAATCCTGCCGCCGTGGTTAAGGTTAAGGATAAGTTTCTGCTCGGTTGTGTGTGGGCGTGTTCTTGTTGTTTTTCGTGTGTGTTTGAAGCTCGTTTAAAAATTTTCTTTGGATTAAAATCTTACGTTTTAAAACTACTAATTGTGTACAATTTGCTCTAAGTTAGAGGATCGTAAACCGTTTAATTTATTAGTTTTTGGTTTGTTAAATTCACAACGCTCTTTGCTAAGTTTTAATGAACGTTAAACAGTTATATATATATCTTTTGGTATTTATAATTCGCTAGTAGTTTAAATATCGATTTAAAAATGTACACATTTCAAACTCGCAAGTGGAAGAATAATGATTATTATTATTAATATTTAATGTGTAATAATTACGCGGTTTTTGGGGGTTCTTTCGTGGTTGTTTGTAATTTTTGGTTGACTATAATTAAAGCACAGCACAAATGTTGTTTTGTTGTTTTGTAAGGCTTCTGTTGTGCTACATTTAAGTTGTTTAAAATAGTTTGATAATAGTTCGGTTGTTAGTTATCGGCTTTGGTATTTAATTTCGCTGCATGGTGATTGTGATTATCCTTTTGCTTGTAAATTCTGGCTTTGTTGTTGTTTCTGTAGCTGTTGTTGTTGCTCTCCACATCCTGCCGTCAGTTTAAACTAATTGTGCGCATCTGCAAGGATAAAGCGAACCAATTAAATGCCATCTGCGTCTCATAAATATGTACTTTACAGAATCTCCCATCTTGAGCCAATCAATAAATTATCCCCACATACGGCATGCGGAAAAAGCCTTTTAGCTGCACAAACGCTTTACATAAGCGTGCTTATCCTGGGGCCCGTCACTTGCCTGCTATTTCAGAGCCACAACCCCAAACCACCGCCACCCCCTTTTCCACCACCAAAACCACCTCCTGCAATGACCCACTTTGCCGTGCCACTTGACACAGTTTGAGAGCCATAGCTGTCACTGGCCGGCTGCTCAAACTGGGTTCGCCTCTCGAGGGCCTGGAACTGTTAAAAATCTCGAGGGGTCTCCGCTTTGGTCTCCATCTGTGGACCACCGTCATCGATCACGCCCACTCCATCTATATTTAACGAACCCCTTTTGAGAGTTGCCAACATGGCTATTTTCCGACAGGGCTAGGCTGATTTAAAAGGAGAAAATACTTGAGGAGAATCCTTAAAAGATTACCTAAATGGTTACACTTAATCGTAGCGGATAGGATTTTTTAAAAATTGTTGTCTCTGATTTTCCTCTAAAATTCCTTTCTTCAATTATTTTAATCTCTTAAAAGTCTATATGCAACAGCAGACAACGTTTTAAAAAAGCCGTTCACCATTCAAGTTGAAACTCGCTTGTAAAACTAAATACCTTTAAAATTGTATAATTCTTGAAATAATATTAATTATTTAATTTAAATATAAATATAAATAAATATATAAATTGTTAAATTAAATTAAAACTAAATTTATATCAATGTAAGACTATGTTTTGTAACTTCTCAAAATAAGAAAGGTATTTATTTTTACGTAATATTCAACTGACACCTCTGATTTTCCATCGCAGCCTCCATCATTGACATTTACTACGTCATCGTGCCATTTTCCACGCAGACACAAAGATAAACACAAACACCATTATCAAATGCCATTAGACATCAGCGGGGGTGCTCCATGTGTCAAAGGGGGCTGATGAAACGAGGGGAGGGGACGGGAGGGGCATTAGGGGATGTCGCTGAGTGAGGTAACAAGTTTGCCATTTACGCCCCGGCTTCTCCTCTGCTTCGCTCAACTTGGTAATTTAATTAACAATAACGGGGTAACGCTTCTGGTTCGACAGTCAGTCACTGGCCAGGTGATAAATATCAATGAATTGCACTGGGCAACCGAGTCGCAGAAAATCACCTCTGCTCCTCCACCTGATTGTCAATCATTACGTAAGCGTAAGCGCCTGCAGTTGGTGACGATGCCGAGGCAAACAAATGTCATTTGTGCAAATGACTTCCTGGCCTGCCACCAATTCAAATCCATTCGGCTTCGTCCATCCCCACTGCAATTACCCTGAAATAAGTGTTATTGCTGCCAACTTAACCGGAGCCGTTCGCATAATGAGCCCCTGAACCCCTCAAAAACCGGAGACCGGAAACCGGAAAGCAGAGAATTGGGTTCACTGAACCCTCTGTGCACTTTCTTGGAAGGACAATCAATAAGCGCGGCCGGTGATTAATTATGTAAATATGTTCATTGTTCTTCGAGGGGCACCGCTAACAGGCTGATGAGATTTTGATTGCCAATGGGAGCGCAGGGCAGCCCATTAACTGTGTGGCATAATTAAAAATAATATGTGGCCTGCTTTTAGTCGCAACTGAAGTCCTGCCCGAAGTTACATTTTTTGACCCACTTTAAGAGACACGAGTTTGTGAAAACTGGAAACTGGGCTGTGGAAATTGTAGCTCCGGTTTCAATCGAAAACACAAGTGACCCACAAGTGACCCACAAAACTGACCATTAAAGTTTGTGATGAATGCTAGACCAAATGTACATAAATATAAACTTAGAAAATAGTAAATGCAATAAATATAAAACTAGGTCAGTTTTATAATTTGTTATTACGTACTTTATACTTTTTATTGCAAACTCTACTCTAATAAAGTCATACAAGTCAATTATTTATGACGAAATATAATAAGCATTAAAATAAATCTTGAACAACACATTTAAAACAAGTAAAAAAACTTTTTGTAATTATTACACATTTTAATAATAATTAATAAAACTTTGACGTAATTTAGCGTTGTTTAAAGTTTCAAAGCATGCCAACTGTGTAACTACCCAACATCGCCGAAACGCACTGTATGTTTGCGCTCGACTTTCTGCTGGCCTGTTTTCATTTATTGTTTGGTAGGTTTTTCAGCGTTCGGGTCCATAAAATATGTATCCCATGCGTGTTAGTGTCGCCTCAGAGAACACAAAACCCTGAGCCCGAAACGAAACACAAACAGAAGCGGAAAACCATCGAATGTGACACTGTCATAAAATTATATCCAAATGTCAGGCAGGTGGGTGGTAGCGGTAGTGGTAGTGGTAGTTCGGTGTGAAAGTCGCAGGATGGAGAAAAGCTTTTCTTTTGGGGCGCTGGGCGCTATAAATAGACTTTCGGATGGCTACGTGTTTAAAACAAATTGCGATATACCGCAACAAAGGCCAAGGCGAGCTGCAGGCCCAAGAAGGATACCCGTTTGATGACGTTAGTTGTTGGTTGTCGGCAGGAAGCCCCAGGACGACAAGTGGGTGGACCGGTGGGTGGCGGGCTGACAAGGCTGCTGCGGATGGGCGCCACGTCATCATCGTCATCGTCGCCATCCACGTGGCTGCGTCTTTACATAAGCATGACCTCACCTTGGCTGTTATTTCTCGTTTTCATTTCCCCCCCCCAGCAGCTATTTTATTCAATGTGTTTACTCCGGCCACCTGTTTTGCTCAGTGCATTTGCCTAGGCGGCTGCATTATTTATGCTTACGCATGTCAAATGTCGCATATGCCTGAAAATGCATGTCCTTGAGGGGCGGTGCGCGAGGGATGGGGGGCGTGGCCGGGCTAGACCTGGCAGCCCCTGTCACTCAGTGGCTTAAGGACTTTGCTGGCAGTCCTGCAGCCTGTTGCTTCGCTCACCGAGCAAAACTTTTGGCCACAAACTTTTTAGTCAACCCCAAAATGCCTGCAAGCAAATTGCAATTAAAGTGGGAGAAAGCTGGCAAGTTTTCCACAAAATGCAACAGTTCGGGTAGAAGAAAAATTGAGGGAATTTCGATACATGATTGGTTAGAAAAAGGCATAACCTTTATTCAACAATAAGTGAATATATTCAAAACATGTATCAAATAAAACCAAAACTCTATATTTATAAAACCAACAAAAAGTTACTAAAAAATCTTGATTGCAGTTTTGAAAGATTTAAATATTATATTTCACATTAAAAAGAAATAGGATAATAAACATCTGCAAAAATCAATAGTAAAATAAAACTGCTCAGCTTAATGTGTCGACCAAATCTGCAAACTGTGGGAAATACCATATTGTCATAATAATAATGAGTAGCCCAAGGAACGTCATAAAAAATCCAATTTCCCTATGAAATGCCAAGAATATTTCCGTCCTCAAAATAAATGTCGGCGGGGGATGCGTGATTGGGCCAACTTAAATTCACGTGCTACCCGCTGTTATGGCCATAAACCGCATTGTGAAATGCCGTACCACATGTCGTATACGCAATGCTTTTATTTGGGCCAATTTTGCGTTTGCGAGGGCGGTGATAGAGGCAATAAGAGAGGAGGCGTGGCTCGGGCCAAGGGCAAACAGCGACTTGGCGACGCGCGCGTGCTTAGTTTTATATTGTTTTATTCCCCTCAGAATTTTTGTGTAGCGCTCGAATGCCTCACTAATTCAGATTTCCCCTTGGTCGAAAGTTTTTATTGTAACTTGAATGCTTGAATATATTTACAAAATGCAAGGGTTTGCAGATGTTTGCAATTGGCAAGGTCACAGTCACGGGCTTTCCTTTTCATTTCGCCTCCCCCATTTACCCAGCCAACGTGACGTATGCGTAATAAATAAGACTTGCGGCATTCGGCGCTAAGGACAATTGTATTGGCTCCTGATACCGGCTCTACCCGTACAAATACACACCCCTACACACACACACACACACAATCAAGCACTGGAACAATCGATCAATAAAAAAAAAAAACCCCAACACGAAATTCGTTTCAATGCTGCTACTTGACATTCAGCCAAGGCGTCCATTGTGGCAGTGGCAATAGCAAAGCCAGTCGGGCAATCAATACGGCAATGCATCAATTTGTCATCCCCGCCATGGCTCCTGTTCGCTCCGCGGTTGTTGTTGCCGCCTCAAATGCAGCAACTTGTTTATTTGTTGCTGTTATTTGCTGTCTGATTGATAAGCAGAATGGAAATGAATAGAGCCAATGGCCAAAGGGGGAGGAACGCGGGATCATGACGGTGCGGTTTTGATGCACACACAGGGAGAACACTTAAAATAATTTAAATAAATGTTTAATTACCTACGCCATATTTGTTGTCAACTTTTGAACATATTACCTTAAGATTTTAAGAACAACTCTGTTCTTGAAACGGGTTGACTAAAGCTTAATTGAAAACCCAAATAATTGATTTGTAATAACTCAAACTTATTATATTGAGTATAGTGAAATAATAAATGTAATAAAATAAATTCCTAGCATTTTAGAAAAATTAGAAAGTTGCAAATAATTTAATAGTTATTTCCATTATTTTTTCTCCGTGCACACAAGGCTTATCCGTCGCCTTGTTACTTGTATTTCATTTGCAATTTATTGGCTCAATGTGCAAACTGACGCTGAAAGAGCTGCCAAGTCTGGTCGGAATTGAGACGGAAGCTCTGAGGACGGTTTGACATTTAACCAATTTGCTCGCAGCAGCTGCCAAATGCACACTTATTAACGTGTGTATCTGAGAGCCAGTTTGTATCTGTTTCCGTATCCGTTCGTTGGAGGGAAAAGCTACTCTTCGAGGGTCGCAATAAGGACTCGAGAAGGGAAATGAGGGAATAGCCCCGCTCACTGGCGGCAATTAGTTGGCACTAGCCCAGGGCCACGCCCATCATAAATATATAAATCAAGGCGGTCACAGCCCACAACTAATTAGACGATGGCCAGGACAAACAGAAAGTTGCGATTTGTGTGTGCGTGAGAGGAGGTGAAAGGAAATGAAATGCGGGAATTTGGGAAAAAAACAGTGGGTGGAAAAATAGGGAAGGGCGGAAAATTGAGAGCGGAAAAACAGGGAGTGTTGGAGAATTTAGGCTGAGTGGGTGTGTCCATTTAGGGAGGCCATCGACCAGCGCTTTTGTTTTGTTGTTTTGTTTTTCCTTTGGCAGTTTTGGTTAAAATGTTTTCTTTTCATTTCGCTAAATGCTGTTTTTGTGGGTGCGAAAACCAATTATGATAGTTAATAGGGTATATGGGACTTTTCATTTAAAATGTCACTTGAAAATTATTAAAATATTTTAAGCAGTACCCAAGATGTTATATTTAATAATAAGCCAAAACAATTTGTATAGTTCTTCCAAAGGGTATTTGTTAGTCACCATTTTACAATAATATCTTTATATATATGCGCTGTTTAAATTGTTGTTGGTATATTAAGACATTTAAATATAGCAGCGCTTTTTTGTTTGCCTCATTTTTTTGCCAGCTATTTGTTGTCAAACCTAAAAGCCGCCAAAAAACAGCCCCACTCTTACTTTCCAAAATTTCTTTTCTGAGTAGGTACCACATTATTAAAAACATTTGACATTTGCAGACACGTTGTGGTCATAAATCAAGAAAGCTATGAATTTCTGAATATGTATGATTGTAAAATTCTTTTAGATGGAATGTTTGATAAACAGAAATTTATTACTGAAAATTGATTTTCTTAGAACTCAATCAGTGTTAACTGAGACAACTACATAATTGTTTTAATTGAAGTGTTCTAAAGTGTAAAAATAATCTTTATTGACTAATTAAAAATGTATTTAAATTTTTTGTTTATGACTATTAGTTTATTATCAGTGTCGTATAAAGTGTAATATTATGAAATGAATAAACAATTCTTCGACTTTAGCACTCAAGTAATATAACTATGAATATTTTTAAACCAATGATATAGCAAATTCTGCTCCTGTTTGAGCTCTAGTTTTAGTTCAAGGATATAGTCCTCAAACATTTACAGCCAGTAGGCCACTCTCGAATTTCCCCCCACTCTCGTATGCAAATGTGTGGGCAGCAGCCGTTGCGGCATTTTGCTTCCTTTATCGGACTAATTGAATACGTGTTTCGAAACACAAAACGCCAAAGAATGGATGCCGGACAATCACACGTCACAACTCATAAAAGCATGGCAAAAAGCGAGAGCAGCGTCATTTGGCATGTAAATTAGACTACGGGCCAGCCTTGAAGTATGCTATGGAAATTGCACTTGAGTGCCGGTCATGCAGTGAATGTTGCATGTTGCTCGTTGCATGTTGCACGTCGCTAGTTGCTGCTGCTGCTTGCTGGGGGTTTTGTTTTAGGTTTCTGGTTGCCGGCTGTTCATGTGTGAAAAATGGCAAGTGTGTCACCGCCCACACGCCCGCGTCAATTGCATTATTCAGAAACTATGCAGAATGAACAAAAGCCACTCGGAAAAGCGAGAGATTGTGGCATGTGTTAGTCAGAAAAAGAGGCACAGAGCGGTGGGCGACCCAACCCGACCCGGCCAGACCCTTAATTATGCAAAAGACGGCAACGACCTTGAAGCTGCCAATTGCAGCACACGTAATTAAAGACGAGCAGCGAAACGCAATTCAACACAACGGGTTTTTGTTACAGTTTTCACTCGGACAAAAGAACTCAAAGGTGGCTTGGAACCTTTTTAACAATTTAAATAATAAAAAGGCTTAATAAGTCTCTTGAAAAATGACTCAAGAACTCCCTTTGAGCTTCTAAGTTCCTGATATTCGCTATTACATGCTTTTATTTTTGAAAGCACTAACATGACTTTTTAATAACGTAACAGAGATCAGTCAAATTGGAAAAATAATATATTCAAATAAAATATAAATATATCTTAATTACAGGACTTGCAATACTTGTCTTAGTGGTCATTCCAAAATATAGGTCTCCACTGACGAATATTTTTGGACCTTATTTCTAAAGGTAAACAACTGTCGCCTTGGTGACTTAAAACCTGTTTATTGTATAAGCCAGTTCCATAGGCTCTATACCAAATGAACAACTACCCTGCAATTAACTGAAATTAATTAAATAATACAACGACAGACCACTGTACTGGCCCAGCTATTTCGCAGCCCTTTGGGACAACGTGTGAAATTTCCCATTGTGTGATCGATAAAATGGTCATGTGAGGGGGTAAATGGCGGTGGGTGGGGGGTGACGGTGTGTTGTGGATTGTGCGGTGTTGTCGCGTCCTTGAAGGCAAATTTACGACAAAATAAACAACTTGGCAGCGAAAGAGTCCAGGCCTGAGTCCTCGCCGATAAGGATAAGGATATGGGCTCTCGTTTGGCGCGAAATTTTATGACGCAGCAAAAGTTATCGACGGCTGCCAAAAGACAAATTGCCTATAAAACGACAAAGTCAATAAAAACGAAAGAAAAAAAACGACGAGGCGTGTAACGTGTGACCGAATTACAGATACATAATCTTGGCTGATGCAGGCTTCATATATGTATATCCTGTCAATCCTGTGTGCTACACATAAATTGAAATTTTCGTAAACGAAATTTGCGTGGAAAATGATGCGCTGAGCTCGAGCTTTTCGGTATTTGCGCAAAGTCTTTGGCTTTGGCTAATCCCCAACGAATGCGGCCGTTCTTTGCATTGAGCTTTCCAACTGAAATTCGTTGGTTTTTTGCTCAACTTTGCCTATTTTCGTATCTCTACATCATCACCGAAGGGCGGCACATAAAGGAGATGAGAAAAACAGCACAGCATTTCCGATTGGAGAAGCACGGAGAAGAGTGCACGTGAAAAAATATTAGAAAAAAATACATTATAAACAAATACCTATCATACGAATTTAATGATGTAAGAAACATCGAGAAGAAAACGCGACTAAAATATTACGATTTAAAATATTTAGAAAACTGTTAGGTTTCAGATCATAACTAAATTAATATTTTCTAGTATTTCTGTTTAGTATTCATCAATTATTAAAAGAAACCGAAAACAATTGGTACTTGATTTTTTCAACATTTAATAATCACGTGAATTCTGTGTATTTTATTTCATAAAAATAAAATTACGGTCTTTCGAATAAAATACATTTCAGAACGTTGAATACTTTCAGGGATTTTTAAAAGATTGTAATAGCTAACTATTTTATTCTTTAAAGACTTTATAAATTGTATTTTTAAATAATTCGATAAATCTTTTGAGCCACACCCGAAAGTCCTAAATATATAAACTGTGAATCTAATTTATTCCAGTGTTTCCTAGCACTTTTCCTTTTAACCATTACTTCTAGTATTTCGCTCTTTTCGGGGTTGTTTATGTTTTGCTTCGCTCTTTCGCTGAGACTCCCAGATTCTTCCCATATATGTTATATTTTTTTTGTGTTGAGGTAGGATGCGTCTGGAGCAAAGCTCGACTTGATGCTCCGAACCCAAGGTACTCACCTTAGACGGGATATCCAGTTGAGAAGTGGGCCTTGACATTGCTCCGATTTCCAGTTTAGCGTTTAATTATTAAGTAATTTATTTGGTTTTTGTATATTTAAGAATATTTATTACATTTTGTCTTGAACACTTTGTCTTTATCACTTTGTTTGCTAACTCTTTGGCTGCAACAGGCAAGAACTGTAAAATATCTAGATGAATGTGGGCTTAAGACATGTTTATCTAACTAAAGTCGGCCGTCCTCAAAGAAACGTTAAGCAGCCTTTGATCACTAATAAATCAATCAAATAATATTTTAATGCATGCATTCGGTGGTGTTAAATTAAATGGATTTTTTATACCCTTGCAGAGGGTATTATAATTTCAGTCAGAAGTTTGCAACGCAGTGAAGGAGACGTTTCCGACCCTATAAAGTATATATATTCTTGATCAGCATCACTAGTAGAGTCGATCTAGCCATGTCCGTCTGTCCGTCCGTCTGTCCGTCTGTCCGTCCGTCTGTCCGTCTGTCAGTCTGTCCGTCTGTCCGTCCGTTTATATGCAAACTAGTCTCTCAGTTTTAAAGCTATCTGCATGAAACTTTCCCAAAAGTTGTCTTTCTATTGCAGGTAGTATATAAGTCGGAACGAGCCGGATCGGACGACTATAGCATATAGCTCCCATAGGAACAATCGGAAAAATAAATGAAAAAAAATTATAACTTTGCTGTTTTTTAATTTTTTGATTAGTTCTTCGACATATAGTAACGGTTAAATATTTTCGATTTACGGTTTAAATTTCATCAAAATCGGTCGACTATAGCATATAGCTCCCATAGGAACAATCGGAAAAATAAATGAAAAAAAATTATAACTTTTCTGTTTTTATACCCTTGCAGAGGGTATTATAATTTCAGTCAGAAGTTTGCAACGCAGTGAAGGAGACGTTTCCGACCCTATAAAGTATATATATTCTTGATCAGCATCACTAGTAGAGTCGATCTAGCCATGTCCGTCTGTCCGTCCGTCTGTCCGTCCGTCTGTCCGTCTGTCCGTCTGTCCGTCTGTCCGTCTGTCCGTCCGTTTATATGCAAACTAGTCTCTCAGTTTTAAAGCTATCTACATGAAACTTTCCCAAAAGTTGTCTTTCTATTGCAGGTAGTATATAAGTCGGAACGAGCCGGATCGGACGACTATAGCATATAGCTCCCATAGGAACAATCGGAAAAATAATTGAAAAAAAATTATAACTTTGCTGTTTTTTAATTTTTTGTTTAGTTCTTCGACATATAGCAATGGTTAAATATTTCAGAATTATGGTTTAAATTTCATCAAAATCGGACGACTATAGCATATAGCTCCCATAGGAACAATCGGAAAAATAATTGAAAAAAAATTATAACTTTGCTGTTTTTTAATTTTTTGTTTTGTTCTTCGACATAAAGCAATGTTTAAATATTTCAGAATTATGGTTAAAATTTCATCAAAATCGGACGACTATAGCATATAGCTCCCATAGGAACAATCAGAAAAATAATTAAAAAAAAATTATAACTTTGCTGTTTTTTAATTTTTTGTTTAGTTCTTCGACATATAGCAATGGTTAAATATTTCAGAATTATGGTTTAAATTTCATCAAAATCGGACGACTATATCATATAGCTCCCATACAAATATTAAAAATATATAAAAGAACAATCAAATAATTAAGCTGCAAATCGTCATAGCTTCAATGTTTTTAAACATATACGCAAGTAAATCATAATTTTAATGTTTTCAAAAATATTTAATTCTTGCGATAGCTGCAAGGGTATATGAACTTCGGCTTGCCGAAGTTTGCTTTCTTTCTTGTTTTCAGATAAGATAATTTTGAGGGTGTAGAATTTATGGCTTTGCTGCCTAGAAATATTTTAATTTTCTGGCTAGTAAATATAGATATATTAAACGTTGTCACTTTGCACTGTTGTATTTTTTATTTGCGGTAAGGCAATTTTCCACTTCCAATTTTTCAATTTTTGGGGCACATGCAATTATTATTTTACTTGTTGGCTTTTTCGTGGCTGCTGATTCTGCTTAGCCTTCAACACACATACAGACGCAGGAGCTTCTACACAGATACACACATGTACACACAGGACCCTCTCACAGACATGTGCGCAGGTGTGTGCCTTGATTTTTCAATTATCGTCTAGCTCGTTATTTTCACAATTTAATTGAATACACTCTGGACTTTGAATTTTTAATTTTTCCATTTATGATTGGTGGGACAAAACAAAAAGATTAAGGATGAACAAACTTTTCGTTTTTTGGCCAGCTGAAAATTGTGTTTGCTGGCCGAGTGTGTTGGTGTGTGTGTCTTGGTGTTGTGTCTGTCCGTGTGACTATGTGTGTGTGCGAGTGTGTTTCCACCGTTTCCAACAACAACAACCACTGAACGCGCTGCTGCTGCTGCCGCTGAATCTTTTCGATGCGTGCGTAGGTGCGACGCGCTCACTGTCTAACTGGCAACTGTTTTTCCGCTTTTCCATCGCTTTTCTCAGCCACTGAGAAAACTCGGCCAACAGAGCAAGAGACATAGAGAGTGAGAGAGCGGAGCTGGAAAGCAGCAACAGGAAGAGCGAGAGCGAAAGCTTTCGCCAGCTGAAAGCTTTGCGGCGCACATGGCGGATTGTTTATATTTGTGGCAGGTAAAAATAGCACTGCATATTTTTAGGCACCGCCGACAAGAATGCGCCACTGCGCATGCCCCAACATCCGTTGCCAAAGGCCTGGTTAAATTAATTAATTTATCTCCGTGCTCCAAATGCACATCGGCAATATATTTTGGCAGCTTCAAGTTTTTCTGCGGAAACATTTTTAAGTGGTTCAAATTTATATTTAATTTTACATAAAACTTATTCCTGAAAAGATCTTGTTCGGTAACGTTTTAAGACTTTGTTAAAAAATTTAAATTTCAGAAACTTAAATAGTTTTAGTTTTACCCAACTTACTTTAAAAACATTAAGATTTAGCGTTTAAAATTATATTTTATAAGGGAACAACATATACTTAAAATTTAAAGTTAAAATGCATCAATCAAAAGGTTTTATTTACTACCGAAATGATTGCTTAATAAACTTGATAGAAATGTAGTCTTCAGGTGGCATGTATTGGCCGACTTAGGCTTTAGTTATTAATCCTCTCCAGTACTTGGCTCTGCATCGTTAACGTTTAGTGAAAGTTCTGCCGCTTGCTGATCATCAGCCAACGTATGTCGCAGAGGATACAGGTGGTCCATGTGTTCTATGAATGGACGTATGCCTTCCGGATTCTTCATATATTTGGCGACGCTAAGGATAATATGTCGGTAGATCTGGTGATCTCTGTATGCCGCATTCGGTCGCCGTTTTTGAGGGGGCCTTTTGGAGTAGGAATATAAAATGGTACATATATTTTCTGAATAGAATTTTTAAATTGGTTTTCGTACCGTTCCTGGGCTCGCTGAATCACCCGTCGACGTCGTATTGTCTCCGTCCGGCGGCAACGTTCACAGTATGCAAAATATGCGCAAACGAGAATTACCAATGCGGACAAGGTGTAAATGAGCCAACTCCAGCTGAGGACACTGGGTGAAATAAGGGATATAATAATCTGGGTGGCACTGCTATCCCCGCACTCTTACGTCACAAATGTGGCATTCAAGTCCTTCCAAATGGGCGATACCTGATCGATTTGGTGCGTCTTCACCTCGCTCCTCCAGAATGCGAATTGATACATTATTGGCCTGCTCGTCTGACGGCTAACTGCCTTCTGAAGTCCGGGAAAAAATTTTGATTTCAAATAAAGTGTGTGTGTGTCAATATTTGTTTATGCCGATTTCTAAATCTAAAATGGTTTTCTAGAGATGTGTAATCTTTGAGTGCTTAAGAAAAGCAGTATAGAACACTAGATTGCAATTAAGACAAGTTGCTCAGAACATATTGTGCAAATAATATATACATATATATATGCAAATATATTTATGGTTAGTTATTAAGTTATCTATTTACGTCACTTTTTATAAAAGGAATTTAATTCAATTCTTTTTTCAACAAATAAGTTCCCAAAGTTAAAATATAAAATATGATTGGGGTAATGGTTTCCAAATGTAAAATACAATTATTAAACAACTAATTTGTTACGGAATTTCGTTGGTTTTTTTCAGACTTCACTGATTTACAATAGAAGCTATTTTTTAATAAGTAGTAATTAAATTATTCCCTCATTAATGCGAAGTATGATCAATGCATCACCACGATCACTATGCTGCTTATCCTTAACAACCTGGAAGCTACGGCTTAATAAGGCCTCAAGGTTGCCGATCGTCGAACAGTCTACGATCGATTGCTCGGCCGGATCATCATTTGGCTATTTCAAGTTTGCAAGTTGGCAAGTTGGCGATTTTCGCTTTTGTGTTGAAGCTGCAATTTGCAATGGCAACTCGTGCGCTTCCGTCAACAATTGCCTCGGAAAAGCGTGAGCATATAAATTATGGGGTTGGGGAATGCTGACAGTGTCAAAAGAACATTTCAGGGAATTTGTTGGAAAATTTGCCTGGCGCTTGACACATTCGCTTCGGATTTATGGCCAAGTGTCTTGGCCACAGTTTGAATTCCTCACATTTTCCCCTTTGTCTTCGCTTTTTCCCCCTCCAAGTGACACTGCACATTGCCCCAAATTGAGGCACGATCGTTCGTTTGCTGGTCAAGCGACCCCACCCCATATTCGAATCCAAACCCCAATCGAAAATCCAAACCAAACCCAGATGCGAAGCATGGATAATGCCTGACAGAGCAAGCGAAAAGTAACGATTTTACGGCCAAGAATCAAATAAATGTGCTGACACATCGATAACATCAAAAAGACTAAATTTTATTTTGAGTTAAATAATACATATTTCAAGCAATACATTTAAAGGTTTATTTATAGCTACTTAAAACTGTATTTGTTGATCATTCAATTGTTTTTATTCTGCATCACTTCCATTTATTAAAGATTATCCTGTAGTGGTTGACTATCATTTATGTTTATTTTTTATCTTTACTATATTTAATTGCTAAAACTTATTTTATGGGTAATTAAAGGGCCATATAACTAATATAATTTTTATTAATGCATAACTCTTTTTAGAAAATAATCTTTATAGACTGCACCTTTTAATGTTATACTTTTCCGTTTATAAAAAAGATTATTTCTAACTTTTATGTATATATTAAAAGCATGGGTTTTTTCATACACTCCACTAAACGAGATTGTCTAAAGCTAAATCAATTCCATCAACTCCCACCTGAACCTTTAAAGACGATACAATTTGGCTGCATGTTGTAGCTCATCAAACGGCTGTCAAATTACCTAAACACTCCATGAAAAGACTCTAATGCCGATCTGCTGCAACTGATGAAAATGGTCGCGATAATGACGATGACGGCGATGACGATGGGGAACCCACACGAAATGCTAATGAATTGTTATCAGTTAATTGTCTGAGCGGGGTACCTGGCTTTGTTATCAGCTTTTATGCTTTATTCGAATACGAACTCGAATTCGACTTGGGAACGCCGCGTGGGTGTTCCCCAAAGTCCCCACTCAAGTGGCTACTAATAGCCCAATAAATTGTGATAGTCGGCGAAGAGGAAACCCAAGAAACATACATAATAATAATAAAAGAAGACCGTACCTTTGTGCAGCTAAGCGAACTGTCAATGGCTGTGGCACATTGTTCGATTTATGACCATTCTGCCGGCCAGAGAATGTGCAACCAGTTTATGGGATGCCGAAAGCCCCAATGCTGGATGTTTCACCGCGCAAGCGCAAATCCTTTTGACATGTCCAATGTGCTCAGCTCAGCGTTTAGACAGTTATTCCATTGCCAATGGCTAATAGTATATGGCAATGCACTTGGAAAAATATATATTATAATTGCCAAAATGTTGAATAAAAGTTTTATATAAACAAAGTTATAAAGGAAGAACTTTTAGAGTTAACTAAAACTTTTGAATTTATATTTTACCTTTTTGTAATTTATAAGAAACTTATAATATTTTTTATTGATCGTTATTTTGTTATTTAAAGCAAAATAAAATTGTACATTAAAAAACTCAAACCTAAGTTTCATATTAAGTGTTTATAAAATTTAAATTTAGTATAATTGATTTATTTTGATAATAAGTAGTCATCTAGATTTCTATAAGTAACAAGTAATCCCACAAAACTATTGTTTAATATTTTAAAAACTAAAAATTTATTTTATAAAAAAGGGTAAATAAATTCACTTCGATAGAAATCCCATTTATAAATGTGCTTTTTCCTGACCTGCCTTTATACAGTATTTAAGTCATGTCTCTTTAAATAGATAAAGACCGAATCGAGTTTTTCGAGTGTGGTTGACAGTAGCACTCTTATGATGACAACGACAGATCCAGCACCCGATATGGACAAAAGGGCTGCAAACGAGTTCTCCGCTCTCGGATTCTCCATGTGAAAGATCAGCGAGCCGTGCACTAAACTGGCTGCCCGGCGGCGGTGGGTAAATATTTAACTTAACAACTTGCCACCAACCGGAGAAGAAGCAACAAAAGCAGCATTGGCTGCAAGAACAACAACGGCGGACCATAAAAAGCATAAACCGCAAACTCCAAATAGTTTGGACAAGGTGGTGGAGCGGGGGCGCGGCCTGTTCCCTGTTGCCATATAAACAAAACAGCTGTAACGCACTCAAAAACCAGCCAACGACCAGCCGAGGGCATACCTGCCCACTGTACCGCCCACCACCCACCACCCCCTCGAGTTGTTCCGCCTGGGGAGCTCATCCCGATCCTCTGTTGCATCAAACAAAGGAAGCCAACTTCTGCCCCATCGGTCCAATTTCGTTTGAACGAACCAGCGAATGTGCACCGAACATGGGCTTCGACTGGTCTGACAGAGAAGATCACTTGGCTTTTTAGCTAGTTACATTTAAAAAAAAAATTTTTTTTAGCACATACAACATGCTTTGGTTGTCAAAATTCCTTTTATGTAAATAAATAAACTTTTTAGAAATTATACAACTTTTGAGAATATACATTTTTAATTTAATTTGAACACTTTATTATAAAATTTTTAAATTAAATTATAAATTTAAAACAACGTTTTGATTGCAAAATTTAAAAAAGAAAATACATTTTTTTTTTGTTATAACAATTTAGCATATTGCTTTATACCCACCTTAAATAAGGCAATGAGAGAAAGAAAACCATATGTTTATCTTGTGAATTTTCTGGATGATTAATGGGATGAAATATTTAATCTGTGAAATACAATCATAACAAAGCTAATGATTTAAAATTGATTTAATAAATTTGTAATAGATTTTTTAAATGCCAAACAAAAGTCGGGGAAAGTACAAATTAGATTAATTATGATATCATGTTTTTTCTTGGCATTAAATATTTATTTGTCATTATTTGTTTACGGAAATTAAATTTAAGGAGTAACAACGCTTTGTGTAAGCAAATGGTGAGCAATAAACAATGTTGTGGGTTAATGACTACCGAAAGATTTAGTTATTTAATATATAAGATAAATATTTATTGATTTTTAAGGCGTTTCTGAACCAAAAACAATGTGATTTTCAGCGACGTCGACTGACAGCACAGCCAACAGCGCTGCTGATCGGCGATCGTTAACTGGACTTTCGGTTTCGGCTGAGCATTTTCAGTTCGTCTCGGGACTTCTAAGCGATCGGTTTGGTTTGGTTTGTGTTAGCTCCGCCGCGTCAGCTGAAAATTTGTATCTCAAAGATTGCAGCGAGTTTTGTTCGTTTTTTTCGCTCGGCATACGGAAGCGGCTAACGCAGAATCTGGGAAAAAAAGCAGACGAGGAACCATATATATTCCTCTGTAAATTTTATAAATATATTTTTTAAAAGCCCCATTCACGGTCTTGCGTATAATTTATTGTTCAAAAAAGCCAAACGACGGGTATCTGTTTAATGTCAGCGCGAAAACTCAATTCAATTTACTGTTTGTGATTGCAAATTTGACATAATTGTGTTTTGATTTATTTGAGTTTTGGAGGCATCTTTAAATAAGTCAAATAATCTGGCCACGATTGTCTCCGCATTGAACCCGCGGTCAGTTGGAATTTGTTCACTGTGTGTAAGTCGCATGCAAATATTGTTAATTAATTGCAATTATTTATGAATTGAATGTGTGTCAAGCGACGTGCGACATTTCCTAGTGCATTAATCTTGCTCAAAATCGATCCTGTCTAGGAGTTTCATGTCACTTATGGACGTAATTTGCATTTTATGGTGCGGCTAACTAAGTTGTCTGGCGAAGTGTCTTTCATTTATGTGCCTTAACTACTAAACAATGCCATAAATGGGTTAGGAATTAATTATCGTGTGAACTTCTAGACGCTGTCGTTATTAAATTCTTGTAAATAAAATTATTAAATAATATGTGGCTTATCATGTAGGAAATTTTATTATATTATAAAATTTTTCTTGTGCTATAAAATATACAGATGAATGTTTAAATCTTTTAAAGATTTTTAAAGTAAAATAAGTATTTAATAAGTTTATTCATATATTTATAAATAACGATAAACACCAATTTTTTGTAAAATAGATATTTTTGGAGTTTTGTTTTTTCTTTACAAATTTGCATATCAAACTTATTTCCATTTGGTTTCTTTTAAATATGTTATAAACTGTCTATCTTATTTATTTTAATCTTAATAAATTCTGAGCTAAACATTTGTGTGCCCTCGCCCATTTTTAGATATGTTAATTTTACGACATTATCACCATCACAAATTTGTTTAAATAATGTGACAAAAGCGGCAAACGCAAGACATTTGAATAATTTTATAAATACTTTCCATTGTTTTGATTAGTTTGGGAAACAATTATGCAAGGGCTAAATTGTGTTGTATTTTCTTGATGTGCTAATGCATTCTGCATTTTGACACATATCGTTCAACAGGTGCGCAATCAAAAATTGTAGTTTGGGGCACGATCCGTTGAAAAGCGATCGTGCCTTCCTGCATATCATAATCTTTGCTTAAATATTATTACTATGGAAAATGCCGCCGTAGGCAAAGGGGAGGGGAAGGGGAAGGGAAAGGGGGGTTTGTTGGTGGCGCATGTCTATGAGTTTCTTGTTTTTCCTTCGCTTTGCTAATTAACCAAAGTCATTTGCATAAATTACGCAGCTAACGGTAACTGGGTTTATGTCTTTTGTCTGGCTTAGTTCCCCCGAACAAAGTCCCGGGTCACCGTGAGCTTTGGGGGATATGGATATGGTATATGGTATATGAAATATGGGACCAGGGGGCATGTGTGGGCGTGGCCTCCGCCCCCTTGCAGCTGCAAAGCAATTAGCAAAAGACTGGACATGCCAGCAAATTGAGCTCTGCTGTTGAAGTTTTTCCTTTTTTGGGTCGCTGCAATTGTTATTGAAATGAGTTTTCGCATTTGAAGTTGAACTTGCAGGCGCTTTGTGCAGTGCGAAAAATAACTTTAAAGGCTAACTAATAAATATGAATTATTACCCAACATAAAAAAAAGACAAAATATACTCAAAAATACAATAAATATATGTATATACAATAAAATAATACAAATATATATATTTTCTTGGCATTTAGTTAAAATTTGCATTTAATTTACTTTTTATTTGATACTGAATCCATAATGTATCCATAATGGTTTTAAAACTAATTAGAAACAAATAATTTAATTTTCTAAGACTAAGAAATATTTTGATGGCCATTATTAATTTAACAATTTCATTAATGCTATTTAAATGCTTTTAAATTTTGTTTCATATTTAGAAATATATTCTAATTCATTTAAAATTGCAAATTGCATAAAAACTGAATAAAGTCCTTAAACTTTTATCGTATCTAATTGCTGATCTTTGTTATCCTTTTAAAATTAATCTCATATTATTTTTCTGGGTGTAGGAAAGAGAGGTGTTGGGACTTTGAAATGTCAAACTGTCGATGCTGAACATGTTGCATAGTTTTCGCTTTTCATCTCTGACTTTGTTAGGGAAGAAACGCAACAACAAAGGCCAACAACATTCCTTTAATTGGACTGAAAGTAGAGTGTAAACAAAAAAGCCGCGATCGAACGACCCATGGCCCCACAGCACCCCCCTCCCCACTCCCAGTTTGTTGATCTTGTTAAAAAATAAAAACATTCAAAAGGCAAGAGGGGGGAGAAACGTCAAAAGTAAACGAGATACAAACTCCGGGTAAATGTGTCATGATTTTGCATATTAAAGACAGCGACACAATATCAACAGATGAAATAAAACACCATGTGAAATACACTATCAAATGGCGGGGCTGGCACACACTATTAAACAGTTGACTGGCCGTGATTTTTCTACCCATCAGTGCTGTCTTGGCTGTCGTGGGAAAAACGAAGACGAACCAGTCGACCAGAACAATAAACAAAGCGAAGGAATGAATGAAATGTGTAACCCCGCCGTCCTACGGCAAATATTTGGCAATCTGTCAGATAAGATACTATATATTCGATAATCCTCCGACACGTTCGGTTATTGAACCCCAAGAGCAGCGTGAAAATTGTGGCAGCAGTGGGTGGTTTTTCCGCCTCGTTTTCCCCCCATTTTCACAGTATTCTCAAAGTGCGATCGTACATCTACTGCAGTTTTCCCGAGATCTAAGGCTTTTTGCAGCCCATCTCGCCTGTCCAGATAATGTTAATAAAAGCAGCGCTGAAAAGCGTTTGCAACAGCAACAAATTGGAAAAATCGATTTTTTCTCGAGCCGCCATAAAAGAAAAAAATGCAAAGTTACCAAACAATTTCTCGTTGTTGGGGATCTCCTCGGCAGGCGGCGTTAAGCTCTTAGTTTATCTCTTTATAAGAACTTGAGGAGTGGCCCCGATTACACAAAACATAAATAAAAACGCATGCTAAAGTGGCAGCTGTTTGGAATTGCACACAAAAAATGTTTAGAAAAAGTGAGAGAGCGGCGGAGGCATTTAATTAACATTTAAATGGCTGGCCGTCGGAGGAGTTGTTAAGTTAAATTACAGCGCTGCCCAAATAAAACCAAAAGATGATCAATTTACACACCATTGAACACGAGTAAACAGATTCGAGAACCCGAAGAAAATCCGAAAATAACGAAAAAAGTTCCATAATGATTGCGTTAATTAAGTAATTTGTGCAGTTTTAGTCACGCGTCACGACATGATTAATTTTGAAATGCAAAAACTTGTATTTATAAAACGGAATTGTGCTATTCTCCCCATTTTTTTTTGTCAGATTCTTCCTCGACAACTATTTTCCCGACAACCAAAACATGTCACATGGAAATGAGACATAAGCAATGTTTGTGGGGAGCTTGTAGAGTCAGAAAATAATATGAATTCGATAAAAAGGAATTTAAAATATGATTATTAAATATTATTTATTTTTTTATTATTTATTACAACAAATTAAACATTTTGTTAACTGTTTATTTATTTATTTACACGTGATAACTATTCGTTATATTTTATTGATTGCAAACAAATTAAACATTAAAAAAGTAAATTAAATATTACAATAAATTAAGGTATTGATTTAAATTAGTGAGGAATTGCTTTTTTATGCGCTTATGAATTTATTTTAACATACACTAGTTAGTTTTGTTTTTATTTATTTATTAAATAATAAAGCTGTTGACTTACCATTTGAAAAAAAAAAGATTTTAATTTGTTTATTTGTTTTCTAATCTTCTATATTTTTCTGTTGAGCACTGAATCACAGTTTTCGAGGACTTAGATTAGATTACCTCATATCTGGACCTCACCGTACCCCACAGCTTCCTAAATGCTGTGAGATACATATGTGCCTGTACGCATCTCTGGTGATTCATTGGCCATAGCTCATGTCTGGGTCAGCTCACAGTTGCAGATACAGATATAAATATAGTTTCAGATACGGATACTCCCACCGAATCCCCGTGTCTTGTCAGGGTGACAGAAATAAAGTTGACACTTTTCCGCGCCTCTAGCAGTGTTTAGCCCCTGATTTATGTGCTGGGAAAACAAATCAATAACATTTAACACACACTAATTTCAAGACCCACAGCATACAGACAGATACAAATTTATGGCAGCCTTTGCATAAATTCCAGCTAAACTGCAACCACGACCCGAAAGTTGATTTATATATAATTCTTAAGGCATTGCCCCAGCTATTAATTAGAGATATATCAAAATATAGCCGCCGATCGGTTGTGGGCTGGCTCTATATACATACATATATATCTCGGAATACATCTCCACCTTTTCGGGTTCAGACAAACGCCGCGCGATTTGATTTATCTCCGGACTGACCGTTTTTGGCAATCCAGCAAGGTCAAGGCGAGTTGTCAACTCGGCTTAGATTTCAACGGAATCAAGTTGTTTTTCCCTCTGGCTGGATTGCTTCAACTCTTTGGCTAATTTTTTTATTTCGATTTTTTTTTGGTTCATTTTTCTGTCTGCAGTCTCGATTAAGTTTTGTGGCGGCGCCCGAAAAACCTTTTTACCACTTTTTGCGATTTTGCATTTCTCGGAACTTTTGCAGAGTTATGACAACTGGTTGGGGGCTGGGTCTGACATTTGGCAGTCATTTGAGTGGCAGTCGAGCCCAAGGGGTTCCAGGGTTTCACTTACTAAGCGGCTTAAAACCACACCTGATTGATACTGCCCCTGCTCTTTTCGATTTTGATTTCCATGAGTTGCATCCGAGAAAAGGGCCAGACTGGCCACATTTCCTTAACCAACTTGCTTACAATTTCTCAATTCTCAATCTTTGGCTGGGGTTTTTTAATTAGCGCAGCAAATGTTAATGACGACTCGGGTCCGCTGTCAGTCGAACCTATCAAAAGATCTTTGGAGTTTGTCAATTGCAATTGTACACTGCGGGAAAAGAAATATTAAGTAGAAATTTTCTTATGTAAAAATATATTCGGAAATTAATTTGTTAAAAATAGAACTGTGCGTTACGCAGGCCACAGAATTTGTATTTATTTGGCCTATTATTTAATGAGCTTTTTAAAATAATATTTTAAAATATTTTCATATTTAAAACTAATTTTTATAAATAAGTTTCTAAAATTTCTTTTATAGGCGACTAATTTGTTTACTGTCGGTCTTGAATTTAAAACATGTCTATATTAAAATTGTATTTAAATCAACAAGCTTGCTCTGGACTATTGAAAAATAGTAAGTTTGCAGTGCATAATTTTTCGAAATTAAAAAACAAGAACGGACATATGTTAGATTCACTTTAATGAGCTGGGCGTTTGGAACCATAAATTCAAGTGGAAGCAATGAATATTAATAAGCTCACTGAGCAATTGCAATGAATGGTTTTTTTATGGGTTAGGGTGGTGCGAGTGTAGAGCAGGGTGGTGCGTTCCTGACAAATGAGATGCCACTGCTCCACAGTCCCGCAGTGCGCGATATTTTGAAAAATGCCACTGAACAAAGCCAAAATTGATGCACATTTTTCGCTTCCGGCTTCGGTTCACTCCACTTTGCTTCACGTTTTGGCATCTCCTGCCGGTTAACTGTTAACGCGTTTACTTTTCTTGTTGTTTAACGTGTGATTTATCAGCAACCGAAAAAAAACAAAAAAAAAAACAGAATAATAATCACAGTCACCGTCATCATCGTCGGATGTGTTGAACAAATTGCCTTTGTCTCTGGGCTACAAAAATTCGAACCGTACTTGGAAGTGTTGACCACTCGACCATGAAAACCGTTGGCCCCATCAAGAACTGGGTTCGAAAAAGTACCCACATTACTTCCTTAAAACCATTCATTATGTCTCTAAAGTTTTGGAAATAAGAAAACAATGGAATTTTTAAGATTCCTTTATTTGGTCTACTTGTTTGTAAAGAATGTTCCTTATTAAATATTTAGCTGTTTAAAAATGTATTATTATGGTTAAATGTAGTTAATATATGGAATTAGAAAAAAAAAAAATGTATATTAAACATAACACTCAAAAAAAACTGAAAGCTTAGTCTTACTAAGTGTGTCTTGAAATTAAACTACAGACAGTATTAAAGTATAAGTATTAATGCAATACTAAATAATGCAATCCCTCTTTTATTTTCTATACCGAAGAGTCTAAAACTGTAGTCAATGGCCATTTTTTTTGTTTTTAACTTTCATGGTATTAATTTAATACATATCTTATTGAGTACTTTTTCATACCCAATAGTTTAAAATTTACGTAACAGTAGTTTTGTTTCTATGAACTATAAATCAAGATGAATCCTAATTTCAACCGCAAAGTGTACCTCAGTTTCGTGCTGATCCTGTAACGTTGTCTAGACTCTAGTTAATACATTTATGCTACCTTTCAATTACCCGATGATGGACAGACAGGTCGGCGCTCCGTCAGACAAAGGAATCGGTAATGAGGAGCGGTGGATCCGTCTTGTTGCTTACATTAAGTGAGGCGTGCAAAATGCCTAGGAATTTGAATGAGAACGAAAGTGAATGTAATTGAAGGGAGGTTGGGGTTTTTGCAATGAAGAAACAAGTTCAGCACTTAATAAAGTCAGCGTTCTTTTCTTTATTTTATTTTACTTACAGTTCCATTTAGCGAATTGAGATAGTGGTACGCCATCAACGAAATACCAGATATGATTTACTCCAGCCTTTTCCTGCTGCTCTGCTGCACAATCCTGCTGCTGGGAACGGCGGTGTCAGGTGCACAGAATGGTAGTTTTAACAGCACTAGTCCTCACCACAACCGAACTCATCGAGGACATGGCCATGGCCATCGAACGCGTCATCAGGGAAATTACCTAGCCACGCAGCAGAGGCAGCAGCGCAGATTACAGTCGTTGAGCCAAGCCAAATCGGATGTGGAACTACTGCCCGGGGTGACCATGCAGGAGGTCACTAGATTACGACGGGTTCAACCACTCAATCCCTATAATAAAGTGCAGACACGACACCTCCACCAATCACGATCGCTCTCCGAATGGGATTATAATACATATAATATCCTGACCAACACGTTTGGTCCGCCTCCGCCGCCGATGCCTTCGTCACCACGCGCCGGAAAGGGCGAGGATAACACCCAGGATGTGGAGTTCATCGGGGTGCGGGAGCGGGGCAGGGGCTACTCCTTTGTGCCCTCAGTTAGCACCAGTGCCCCACCGCCGAATCTGAACAGGAGATCCGCCAGTCCTGGTTTTGGCAGCAGCCTGGGCACCATCCCACCACTTGTTCCGTCCAGAAGGGGCTATAGCTACACCACCACAACATCTCCTCCCCTAACCACCATCACCACCGAAAATCCCTTCGAGACGAACACCATTGGTCGGGGCTATCCCAATGATCCCAAGGAAATGGAAAGGTGAGTGGAATACTATTAAATTAAAAGAGTTTTAAAGAATGGAGTTGGGGATGAGTTGGCTATATAATATTTTATATATTTTAGTTCCTGAATACAATTATATTTTAATATTACCATATTTAAATTAAGGTGTAAAATATTAGATTTAAAATAGTTCCTATTTGATTTAAATTCATTTTATTTAAGTTAAATGTGGTTTTAATTTTTAATAACATTTCACATATTAAAAGCATTTCCAAAAATAATCAAATTAATAATTTCATTTTTAAAATAACTTTTTTGTTTTTGGCTATATGGAATATGATAATAATACTTGTTTATTTAAATGACCTATTAATTTCAAAGATAAATAACGAAACTTACTTAAATAATAAACCGTTTAGAGATATTCAAAATCGTATCTTAATCAACCAATTAAACGGCACCTAAGCCCATGGATATTAACCTTGCAATCTTCGGTTCATTGAGCCACGGCGAAGAGTAAAGCTTTTGGGTCCACACCCCTGGGATAGATGAAGATGGAGATCTGTTGGGCGGGGCGTGTCCGATTGCATTTATCAGAGTCTCAGCCCGTCGGTTCAAGGTTGATGCAGGCATAAATTGACCGAAATGCCGGCCGAGATTTACCTTTGGCCCAAGATCTGCGGCTTATCGCGTCGCCCATAAATTATTTAAATATTATGACACGCCGCGCTTTCAATGTCAGCAGCTGCGCTTCGCGGGGCTAATTCGAGCCCAGCAGAGACCAGTCCGGACCAAATGCCAGCCAACTGGCTGGAAATTAGCCCCAAGGCCAAGTGGCCGTGATTTTTCCAACCAGCTGAAGCACTTCAATTGTCGTGTGTCAATTGCAGCGAATCAATGAGCGTGCACTTGTGTTCGAAACAATTGCAATTGCAGCTCCTTAAGTGTAACATGCCGATCTTCAGTTAGATATGGCTTGTCTTCGCCTTCTTTTTTTTTATTTTTTTTATTTTTCTGTTTCCACCGATCTGGCCAAGATCGCATCGCGATGGCATTGACTCCAAAAGGCAGTCTGTCGCCTCCAATGGTCGTGGTCTTTAAGGTAATGAACTTTAACTAGTTTTCAATTGCCAGTGCCCGATGTGTGTTTCTAATTGGAATTAATGCCAGTCTACTTAAGGGCACGAAGGAATGCCACTGCAATCCTACGCCTTTGCATCTGCCCCGGGAACACGCCGCGTATGCGCAATCTGAGAGCTTAGTGCTGCAGTTGCAGATTATGACACTTTTTGATTTATGCGGTAACTGCCAAAATCACGCCACAAGGCAAACACACAGCCAGCATCATCAGTCACAGCACAGTGGCATAAAAATGTTGCAGCAAACACTTTAAGACACTTCAAATAAATTATATTGTCAATCTGACAGGTTCATTATTAATTTGTTAATAATGTAAATAGATATGTAAGCCAAAGAAACGTTCATTGGTTTTTAAGGAAATATACAGAATGGATATTAAAAACATTTATTTTTAATGATTTAATTTCAAAAGAGATAAAATGACACACAAATTACTATAAATATTTTAAGGTGCATAAATTTTAATGCAAATATTTATTGATATTTTATATGCTCTTAAATTTAGTCTTTTACTTTAATATGTATAAATTTTTAATAGAAAGATTATATATAGTATTTTAAATATAATAAAATATAAATCACAGTGTACAAAATGTACAAATCTTCTATCTTCTGGCTTCATTTTCCACTGTTATTGCCTCAATACGTAGGCGCTGCTGCCTTGCCCATTTGTTTTTCTATTTATTTAAGCACTGCACGTGCGATGCCAAGAAACTGGCAATTTCAACTGCAAGTGGCAAGTGGCAAGTTGCAACAGAGCATATGGAAATGACTTCTCGAATGGATTGGCTTCGCTTGGAGATATTCACACGCCGCCATCAGCACATAAATCCCCCTCTTGCCAACGATTGAACCTGGTTAATGGCCAGTGCAACGTTTCAATTGCGGTTACAGACTCCGTGTTAATCAGCGTCATACGCGGCGATTTGCGGATAAAAGTGAACTTAAGTCGTTTTCCGCTCCTTTGGCTATGATATCACTGGAAAAAATGCACATCAACTGCATTTTAAATTGATTTAATCCTTTAAATATATTGGCTTGCATGGAACAAAACTCTAGAAACATTTTTCACAGATATTCATTTTATTTCATAAATATTTTCTTTTACTGAATCAGTTTTAAATCGAAATAAATAGTGCTCCAAGATTTTTTTCTCTACACAGCACCACCAGAGGCGAAGGAAATTAAGTTTTTAATTAGCAACAGCGTGTTGTAACTCTATATGCAAAAGCCAAAACATTTGAACCCAAAACTGAAACCGAAAATTGGTTGTATGCTTTAGTGTTTTGGCTTCTGTTTGATAAATTCAATTGATGTCTGCACTGTGCATGTTTTGGCCAATTTGTTGTTGCTGCCGTGGCAGTTGCAGTTGCATGTGCCCGACAGTTGATTGATGTCTGTTTTTTGTTTTTTGTTTTTACTGCCACTGCTGCTGCTGCTGCTGGTGGGGCAGATCGTATTGATTGACTTTTGATTTGCCTCCGCAGTTGCGCCATCACCGATCGGGAGTGATCTGAAACGCGAGCCAATGAATTAATTATAGATTCCAGACTTCATATACGCTGAGGTGTTGATTCAGGGAGGGTGCATGTAATTTGGTGGGCGTGTCCCGCTTAAATGCCACTTGCAACTCGATTGGTACGGCAAGATACTTGTACAGATATCTCTTTTCTAGCCTAGCATAAGAATCGAAAACAAAGCAGGGCCTTGACTTCAATCAGCCGCAGCAATAAAAGCCAAAAGCAACAATTGGCAAATGCACAATCAAATGAGACAAGAGCCAGCGCGGAGTTATGTGCACTCCGAACAGCACTGTGACCCCAGACAGAGCCACAGACTGCACTTAGAAAATATTTGATAACTAAAAGAGGCAAAATAATGTTAATTTTTATATGTACAAAATTTGGGGAAAATACATGTCAACTTAAAACTTAAAATAATAAACAGGCACTACATAAAAAATGTTACCGAAGGAAATGCTGAGCTCAAAATTATAAATATATTAAAAACTTATTAATATTCATTAGGAGAACATTTTGTTAGAAATACATAAGACATACATTTTTAAAAGTAACTTCCTTTAAATTAATGGCTTTCATTTTATTCACATCTACAAAAATATTTAAATATTCAAATTCGTTTTTGTAAATGTATTATGTTTAAATTTAATATTAATATTCACACTAAAACTTGTAATAGTCCTTGTTATCCTAAAGAAATATTATATATATTCTTGACAAAATCAAATAAAAGTGGTGAAAAATGATTTATTTTAATTTGCAAAAAGGGATGCCGTGTTTAGGAGCCATAAAATCGATTTAACAATATGTATTTTTTGAGTGTGCGTCTTAGACGGCGGCCCAATCGCAGCTGGATGCGAGTCAGGGCTCGAGTCGAGTCCGCCGCCTGCAAATTGCTTGTCAACAATCGACTTTGGCTCCGAAACCCAAACTCCAGGCCAGCGATAATTATGGACACAAAGGGGAAACGGGGCCGGGTGACGAATGATTTGATATGCTGCGCTTGGAAAAACTGCACTTAGAATGCGGCTGGGCCTGTGAAAATTCGTTAACATTTTGCACCGTGAAGCATTGTGCTCAATGGCTACGCCTACGCGTGCCAAGCAAAAAAAAAAAAAAAATAAGTAATCTTGAAGACTCGAAGACTTTAAGTTTCAGCTCTGGAGCTAGTGCTGGTACTGGAGCTGGAGCTGGAGCCATAAGCTCTGGGCTTATCTGAAGTCCAAGTCATGCCATCAGGCCAGGAAACCTTGGCCCAGGCAGAAGCTCGTTTAATGAGTTTTTCTTGGGATTCATAAGGAGGCAAACTCGGTTAACTCCTACTACTTGGGGCAAAAAAAAAGACATGTACACGTGCTCATCAAAAATCAGCGGAGTACACGACGTGATACGACATCAATTGAACAAATTGCTTGACAAATGCAAATCGTTGATTTGCCATCTCAATGTTCGTTTTAATTAAGATGGATTTCTCATTCAAGCGGCTGCAAACTTTATTGAACCCTTATGGAAACCACGTTTTCGAGAGGTTTATGGCAGCCTGCACAATTTGGTGACCCCGATTCCGGCATTAGTCATGGTCAGAGTCACTGTAAATGGTTCAGTCTGGACACCTATAAAGGTGTCTCCGGAATTGTCTCAGTTTTTTTGGGTCAAAGGTCTGACAAACATATTTGTTACACTTTCCCTCAAGTGTGACATGTGTGGTATTTGTTGGAGTATCACTTTACCAGTTGAGTTATTTACTCACGATATTGAAACCTATTCAAATAAACATAAAATAATTGATGATTGAGTCACGCTAGAGTTGAACGGAAAATCAGCCTTTGGGCTTAGGAATTATTTTTAGGTTTTAAAATCACTTGGGAACTAAATAAAAAACTTTTATTACAATATATTACATGCAAAAGCACACAAACCAATTTAATTATCAGACAAAACTATTTCAAAATACATAATAAAATAACAACTGTTGTAAAATGTACAAAAAAAAAACAATGGGCCATATAAAATACCAAATAACGATCTCTAGTTTTTTTATCTGAAAGCAAACTGTTCAGAAATATCTATCACACCTCAGGCTTAGCCATAAACCATAATGAAAATTTATTAAATGAATATGCAAATCACACTTTATGGTCTAAATTTACGCCTATTGTCTGCTGCTCTGTCCACGCCATGCAATTAGTGAGTTTTTCATATAAACATGAGTAAGTCACTTGCAACATGGATTGGACAGTAGACAGTATACGGTGTACAGTGGACACTGGACAGATGGACAGCTCCGTCACAATGGAACTGCATGGGCTCAGCGGTAATTTGCAAATCACGCAGCTTCGCATCTCAAGTTGGAAATTGGGTTAATGCAATGCTGGG